GAGCTAAACAGGTAAGACCCCACTGCCCCAAACAGGAATAGCAATGACACATTTTTCAGGGAGGTTTGGCTCAAAGCATCCAAATCAAGTATTTGGTCACCCAGGTAGACATGGTGAGAAAAATCCTCTCAGCAGAAGCACAATCAATTTCTTCAAAACATCATTACACATCATTATTATTTCTCCATTGTAAACGGCACTCTTCATCACTGTTTTAGTCATACTTCTCATTCGAGGATTTCTAAGACAGGAGGAAGTGTGGCCTGGGGAACAGAAGCAGGAAGGTGGGAGGCTGAGCTTGGGCCTCTGACAGCTCACTCGCCTCCTTCAGCATCAGTTTCCCATCTGTAAAATCAAAAAGACTCACAGAGGCTCCTGGGAGTCCATTGCTCTTGGATCCTTGGTTCCAGACACTGAAGCATTATCCCATGTTCCCAACCATTTCCTCTGGCCGAATGTCCCTTGCTTACTGTCCTCTGGTGACTGGCAGCGCCGTGAACTCTTCCCACCCCAGGGTCTGCACCTGTTTACCCTTCTCAGAAAGTTGTGCAAAGTTGTTCCACCATGGCTCATCCTCCTCCTCCCAGTCCCAGCCTGCTGCCAGCCCGTCCAAACAAGACCCTCTGTATACAGTCTTTCTCTGCACCTGGGTCATCTCCTCCATAGCACTGACCAGAATCCTCACAGATTTGCTCATGCGCTTTTGCTTTCCTGAAGCACCCTGAAGGTGAGGGTCCTGTCTCACTTTTTTTTTGGGGGGTACCAGGAATCAAACTCATGACCTCATGCTTGCCAGGCAGGCACTGTGCCACTGAGCTATGTCCCCGCCCCGCTGTCTCACTTTTGTGGCCACCATACGCAGCACAGTGAGTAGCATATAATTAAACCAAGCTAATTATCTGGGGAATGAGTTAATGGAAGAAAATGAGCCAAGGAACTGTGGAGGTGAAACTGGCTCTTCCCTTCCCTCAGGACGCATCCATGGGCCCACCTTACTCCAGGGTCCTACTGTCAGAGAAGGCTGCTGGCCCACAAAACAGAAAACACCAAGCTCTCTGTCACCAGGCTGAGCTCTGGCAACAGCAAAACCTGCGCTGACTTGTAAAGTGAAAGATCTTGGCAGCCAACTCAGAGGGTGACATGGAACAGGAAGCGTCATTTTCACTGAGATGTCTTTCCTGGCCATGCCAGACATAAAACTACTAAGGAGAGGAAATCACTTTCATTTTAGCCATTACACTGAAAGTATGAAAGCTATACCTGAAGGCTCTGAAATAACTTGGGTTACTCAAGGCTCCGCTGCATTTACATCTGCTGGAAGGCTATGGAAAGATGAGGTTCATTTGAAACACTTTCTCTTCCAAGGTAGAAAGTATTTGTACCTTCTAATTATGAGTAAGGTGTACTTTAGCTCATGATTTCAGAATTTTTAGGGTCCCTAGGCAGAAACAGCATGGTGGAAGGATGTGACAGAGGAAAGCTGTTCACCCTGTGGCAGTCAGGAAGTGCCAAGAGGGAAGGTAGGAACTGAGGAAAAGAAGACATCCTTCCAGGTCACCTCTCCAGTGACCATCTCCAACCAGTTCCCATCCCCTAACAGCAAAATCAGCTACTATCTGATGAATGAATGAATCCCCTGATGAGCACAGCACCCCATGGTCTAATCACCTTTCAAAACAGCCCCATCTCTGAACACATAAGACTTCTGGGGGACTTTATAGGTCTGAACCTTAACACTATGAGCAGGAGTAAATTATTTTTAATCTAGTGTGAGCAACTGCCTATTGATAACATTAGCCTTAACTATACAGAACGAGAACCCCATGTTATTGGATCATGTGAATCATACAGTCTTAGGTGAGAATCTTCAGAGTGATGGAGAACATACAACTTGTCAAGATATGAAATATTTCCAATATACTTTCCCATGGACATGGAGTCATTTAATGAGTTATATGAGCTACGAGATAAAAGAGGACTTGTGATATACACCTGGACAATGTGTTTGAAAACTAAGTACACTGTTTTAGCATGCCAGTAGGCTTTATAGATAAAGTTTTATATGGTATTTTAGAGCAGTCTGAAATATATTATGTAAATATACTGAAAAGTACAAGAGCCAGGAGTGGTGGTGCATGCCTGTAATCCTAGCACTCGGGAGGTTGAGGCAGGAGAATAGGTGAGAGTTCAAGGCCAGCCAGGGCTACAAAGTGAGCTCAATGCCAGCCTGAACTGCATAGCGAGACACTGTCTCAAAGAGATAAAAAAAAAAGCTTGGTGTGGTGGCACACACCTGTAATCCCAGCATTAAGGAGGCTGAGGCAGGAGGATCATTGTGAGTTCGAGGCCAACCAGGGCTACAAAATGAAGCTCAAGGCCAGCCTGAACTGCATACAGAGACCCTGTCTCAAAAAGACAAAAAAAAAAAAAAAAAAAAAAAAAAAAAAAAAAAAATTACATGAATCACATATAATATCAAGATAGACATTTGCTTTTTTAAACATTTTATTTTGTATTGATCCTTCTTTCTCTATATACCTATCAATCTATGGGCACCCAAAAATAGCATCCACATAAGCTGTAACTTTCAGAACAACAGAATTATCCATCTGCAAAGCAGACACCTCCTTTAATGAAAGCAGTACTTGGAGCTCTAATTACTCCTGAGAGCTCCTTAATTTATCCATCTGAGAACTATTCATTGCACAGTGTCAATGTGAGAGGACACAAGGGTTGCACAGGTGTGGTGGGAGCTTTCCTCAGCTGTGTTCTGCTGGAGAGAAACAGCACGCTACGAAAGAGCAATTCAAGTAGTTCAGTGATGAAAAATGCTCTAATTGGCCTCTGACAGTAACATTTAAACGACGCAGCGATGTGAAGCCGGTAGCTGTGGTATGTTTTAGAAATCTGAATGTCTATCTTTAAACACTGAATAACACCCTTAAAAACTTAAATTTGCCTACTCCTCACCAATGCCAAATGCAAATCAGGCATTCGGTATTTGGGGTAAAAAACAGGCAGGGGATTGGCGTACTTCGTCTTGCAAAGAATGACAATGCTTGTGCATGAAACAAGAACAGTATTACTTGCTTTCCAAACGTACTGTGAGGGCAAGTGTGCCTTGACTCTGCTTGTGACTTACTGAATCAAACGTACCTGCTGTCTACATTTTTATTTGCTTCTTTCCCTCTTGAGGAAGGCAGCTACCCTTCTAGGTACGTTTGTGCTTCTTTCCTTTCTCTGCTACCCACTGCGCCTGGAACTTACTGATTTTTGCTTAAGTCTATTTTACATCTTACAAAAGGAAACTTCGAACAGGGAAAAGAGAAGCACTAACATTTCTCTAGCTAAAGGCCTGGCCAGTGGTGGTGTTACTGGTATTTAAAAATTATTGTAATTATTATGTTATATGGTAAAATGATCACACCTTGGATTTATCTAGATTACCTGCTATTTATTAGAAGGTACACATTATTATAACATACAGTGGATGTGTATTAAGAATGAGATTACTCACTGCAGGAGAAAATCAAGAGTTAAGTAAATGAACAGATGTCCATGCTAGCTCACTTGACTGTCACAGGTTTCCACAGAGAAGCTCTGTGATTCACAAAACAGTAACATAAAAATACTGCAAAATCTCTGGAAAAATGGGAGTTAAAGTTTATAACCAGGGATGCTTAATTCACAAATTAGAATTCTATTTTAATTCGGTCTTTGTGATCTAGCTCAGTTCAAACAAGCAATGATTAGTCGACCATAGCAATTCAAATGCACCTAAAAGTCTGAATGAGGCTTTTTCATATTCTAGTTATTGGTATCAGTTCAACTTCGATCATTAACAATGACACATACTTTACCTTGATTATTTTATTATCATGTTTACATTCATTACCTTCTCATAAGGAAGGTTCAAAATTCTATGACTGTTTAGCAAAAGTACAAAGTTGAGATCTTTCAAATTAACTAAAATATTCAATAGGAAAATCAGGAAAAATTCTTTTTCTTTTTTTTTCTTTTTTTTTTTTTTAAAGTCAGGAAAAATTCTGTTGCAGATTTTCTTGGACAGCTGAGCAGTGACCAGCCCACTCTGGCCTCTGCATGTATTTTCCACTAGACTAAAATCACAACTGTTATCTTTTTCTTCCTTCCTCCAAGCCGACTACTTTTCCTAACTACATGTAGAAAGAGACTGTTGGCCACAGCTGGCCTTTTCATTTTTGTCCTGATGAATATACATGTCACAGAATCAGATATGAAGTCAGTTTTGCTCTATAGAACTTTTTTTTTTTTTGGTACCGAGAATCCAATTCACGAACTTGCATGTGCCAGGTAGGTGCCTGTGTGACTGAGCTATATCCCCAGCACTATAGAAATACTGTTAGTGAGAGAAGGCCTAGATACAAAAATTTTTTTGTTTTCGTTTTTTTTGCTTTTTCTCCGGTACCGGGAACCGAACTCACGACCTTGCACTTGCCAGGCAGGCGCTTTGCCGCTGAGCTAAATCCCCAGCCCCGATACAAAAATTTTGCCACATTCCCTGTCTCTGAGAAGCGGATTTCAGCTGGGTGTGGTGGTACACACCTGTAATCCCAGCACTCTGGGAATCTGAGGCAGGAGGCTTGAAAGCTTGAGCCCAGCCTGGGTTTGGCAATTTACCAATTTAGGGGGACCCTGTCTTAAAAAATAAAAAAAAATGCAGCTAAGTGCAAAGGCCCTTGGTTCAAGTCCCAATACTGGGGAAAAAAACTGAATTTCATCATAGCTGAGTAACTGTATTTTTATATACAAGCCAACGACCGATGGGCCCAGCGTCTCTGTAACTCACTGTCATGCTGTTTGACCTGCATCTTGGTCTAGGCGCAGTGGCACACATCTTATCCTTCTTTAGGTCGTCTGTTACCCCCCTTCCCCCCCCGCCGTGAATGCATTGCCACCAATGCACCCAGGTACTGAATGTTTTATTAGAAACACACATCATGGATTTGGGAAATACATACCTGATTGCACTTGCAGATAAGTGACCATAGGAGCCACTCGCTGAAGAGCTGCTACGGGAATTATTGAGAATTGTGACCAAGGAGTTGGGAGAAGTCCTTATCATGGTCTGAAGGTCAAAGCTATGATCAGACAGCGGTGATATGGACAGTGTACGTTTCCGGCTCGGCCTGGCTGACAGCCTGGGGCTGGGGAATCTGGTGCCTGTTACAGAGACAAAACAGAACCTGATTACCCGCACCCAGACTCCATACCTGTTATTGACTGCCACTCGCCCGTGCAAAAGAAGTGCGGGATAAGAAGCCAGCAACTTGCAGTGACAAGCACCTCTCCTCCCCCAGGGATCTATGGGCTACAATTGAGGAAATTAGGGAGAAATATTTATCTTCTAGGGGCTTACCTCAGGGAAGCTCTGTTTATTAATGTGCAGGCAAAATGATAAATTGCTAAACAAAAGGGAGAGACTTTTATGTGTTATCCCTCTCATTTCTAGTGATTTATGAAACTGACGGCTGCTTAGATATTCCCATCATTAATTCACCACAAGCCGCAAAGACAGGGGCTCCCACAGTGGCAACACACCCAGCGCCCTCCCCACTCCACATACACCATTGTAAGGCAATGAGCCAAAGGAAAAAGTGAATTAAAGCATCCTAAAATAAAAGATCCAGCTTAGCGATGCCCTCCCCCACCCATGTTTTCTGCAGTTAGCTGCTCCCTGGTGTACTTAAAGCATCCCTGCAACAACTTATAAATACATTACCCTAAATCAGTGGTTCTCAACTGGAGGTGACTTTAAACCCAGGGGATCTCTAACAACATCTGGAGACATTTGGTTTGTTACTGCGAAGGGAATGCTGCTGGCATCTAGTGGGTGGAGGCCGGGGGTTCTGTTAAATACACTACGGGGCACAAGGTAGTCAGCACCATAAAGATCATCTGGCTCAACAGTGGCAAGATTGGGGACCATAGTCCAAATTCCCCATGGTCTAAGACCATAAATCCCAACAAATACTTCCAGAAGTGGGATGTCATTTGTTTACAGATTTTGCAAGGTGGGGAACAGAAGCACAAAGGAGATTCCGTTTACCCGTTAAGACATTAATTCTTCTCTGGATCCTGTTTCTCTTAATCAGAACCAACAGAGATAAACAGTTACTAGGATTCTCAGCCTTTAAGAAGATTCCACCAATGGAATCCTAATCTGGAGGTAGGTGGCTCAACTTAGACACAGGCCAACTTAGTACAGTGGGTTTTGCCTGTGGAGTTAAAAATGAAATGCACATCTGCATTCAAATTTGGCAAGTATCAAGATTAGGATCTCAAGGCAAAGGAATGAAAGTGACCTACCGGTCCACTCCTGCCTTTCTGAAGGTCACATTAACATTACAGAGTCATCAAATATAAGTTAATTGAAAGAATGAAACATAATCCACCAGGAAAGTGGCAAAACCAAACAGGAACTACTATAAACACAAACTGAGGGCTTCCAGTTTTACAGCATGGGTAGGCTGCTTATAGGGATGTGGCACTTTTGCGGTACCAGAAAACAAAAGTGGAATTAAACTTTCTTCATGGAAAATGTCCAGGCATTTGGTCTCCAGATAACTCACCAGGAATATTTTTTTCAACAGAGATGGATCTTGACACAAAACATGCTGCAAGATAATTTAACAAAACAGGATACATGACTATGAAGGACTTTATAGTTAGACTGAAACAGTATTCATGTATAAAACTGGAAAACCAATTGGAATAGCAAATGTAGTACCTACTCAAATTTTTGTTTCAGGCACTTTTGGGGGTAGTTTTGGAGACTGAACCAGGGCTTTTGCCCTGAGCTACATCCCTCGTCCTTCTTTATATTGACACAGGATTTTGCTAGGTCATTAAGTTGCCCAGGCAGAGCTCAAATTTGCTATCCTTCTGCCCTAGTCTCCCAGGGTACTGGGATCAGGCACATTTAAATTAAGTTCCTTCATTCGGAATACTTCATTACCAGCCTGATTTAGCATATGTTCATACAGCAAAATAGTAACCCCAACTACAAACACATCTGTTAGTATTTAAATCAGCTGCTTACTTATATTTTGACATCTGCCTTAAACATAATATTCCCCATTTACTCACTACGAAAGGCTAATTTCATCATGAGTTTTAATGAAGGAACGCATGCCATTTCCAAACAGTTCCAAAGACAAAGCAGACTTATTGTCAAATCCCATGTAATCCTTGATAACAGACCATCACAATGGGATTTAGAATTAGAAGCAGCAAGACATGCTGTACAGAGCTCATCCCTGAACACTAGTAAGGATTCAGGCAATAAGGGAGCCACCTGATCCAGTGAAACACTAGAGGCCTTTATAACTCACACATCATACAAAACTAGAGCCCAGGGCCCAAGCAAGACCTTTTCCGTCTTTCCATGAATCCTTAGGGTCATGTACCACCTGGCTGGAACTCACTGTTTTCCCTCCAGGAGTAGCTCTTATTGAAATTGGCTTCTGCCAATAGAAATAGTGTGAATTTCAGGCAGCCCTTACTTTAAGATGTTCCTTACAGAGATGACATACTCATGTATCCTTTAAGGTCACTCTAACCACAAGAGATGTAATTAGAGCCACAGACTTGTTCATTCTAACTTGCTATGTGAAAATACTCTACTTCCACCTCACTCCAACCCAAATGTGACCACCAGTGGCACATCTGCAAGTCAGGTGTGCATAGTACTATCAACCGGTGAAAGAGTCCCAGGGACCCATAACAAAGGACTGGAGCGACCAGCTGGGTCCCAGTTTGCATCCGCTACTGCAGGTGCCAATGTAGAGACTTAAGACTAAGATTTCCATTCTCTGTTGGATATAACTTAAATTTGTAGGTACTCATTATCTTATGCCAGTGGCGGCAGACCTATAGCATGGGTGCCGAAGTGGGCTGTTTGTATCACTGAATTATTTAAAGGGTTTACCATTACTGTCTTATACTCTAAGTGCTATTTCAGTTACTTTAGAGAAAGGAATGTAGAACTCAAAGGACTTCCCCACCTTTCCCAACCCCTTGCAATCAAGAGCAAGAAAAGAATAGCAATGGAGTATCTGGGGACACTGATTTGGGATTTTTGATGAAGGAAGTTGTGGGAACCAATGGTAAGCATTTCAAGGCAGCTGAAAGAGACACAGACTGATCAGGACACTTCCTTTGGAAATAGAAGCCAGAGAGTTCTTATTGTTCCAACACAGGGAATTCCAGTCTGGCTTTCTGTTAATTGTTTTGTTTCTCTCACCTAATAAAAAATTCTGACAAAGAAAAAGGAGGTTTCTCTCTTTGTGATGAATGATAGGACATCTAAATTCCTACTTAATGACAATCAATTTACCATATACGGGGGCAAATTAAAATTCCTTTAATTAGTTTTTACAAAGTAAAAGGGTAGCTTCATCCTTTATTTAGATAAAAACCGCCACTGCCTGACTAAACACATTCTCATCAAATAGGGAAAGTAATGTCGTAGGCTGACCTTCCAAGAAGTCTCTCTTATTTTAATTCTTTATTTGCAGATTTTAAATAACTGATTTGCATAATAATGCTGAACTTTTTTCTCCCCAACAATCACTAATTGAAATGTGGTTATGGTGAATCTGAAGTGTAGGCTGTCTTCACTACAGAAAAACACGACCGCAGCAGAAGATGTAACACATTTCTTTTACTTTGTGTGTGGTAACGAGCTGCCCAATGGAAACCAATACAAGCATGTGTTCCTATGGGCTATGCCAAGGCCACTCTGGGTGGAAAGGGGACTAAGACTGTCAATATTTACCCCTGTGTGGACCAATCACCTCCTCTCTTTTATTACCAGAGAACTGAACCACCCAGTTGACAAATGCACATGTGCATCACAGAAGGATCCGAATCGACTGTAGATGTAAACTTGTAAGTTAAGCATGAGCTCTAAGAGAACCGAAACTCCAAGTGCATGCCCTCCTCAAAGCTGCATTATCAAATTCAAAGCAAGTGGCTTTTGTGCATGTGTGACATGAACGATACTTTGGATTCACTACCTAGTACTGCGCCAGAGGACATGTACTAAAAAGGTCATTTCTACAGAGAGACCTGTGAGATGCTCTGCATAGCAATAATCATAGCCTTATTTGTGACTCCACAGTCTCTTTTTGCCTTAAAGAACCCCCAAATAAGTGACGCACAATCAAATGACCCCATTTTCTTCCACTGCTGTCTACTGAAAGTAGACCCTCTGATTTGCAAATGTTTCTTATTTTTCCTAGATGCAGATTCTCCAACCCTTCCAAATACTCAGTGGCTATAAAAGGCCCTAGTGAAACATAATTTTTTAATATAAAGAAGATTATGGGGCAAAATTAATTCTTTAATATAAAAAAATATAAAACCAGGTACAGGTATTTTTTTGTTATTCTTGACTTTTTTTCTTCTTGTGGTACTGGGGAACAAGCCCAGGGCATTGAGCTACATCTCCTTTTTTTTGTATTTTTCATTTTGAGACAGGGTCTCACTAAGTTGTGAAGTTGCTGAGGCTGGGCCCAAACTTGTAATCCTCCTGCCTCAGCCTCTTTTTAGTACTGGAGTGACAGCATGCATCACCACACTGGGAATTCTTTTCTTTTTTTTTTTCCCCACTTTTTAAAAAAATCAACCTATGAAACTAAAGAGGTACAAAGCCAAGTCCATCCATATGTCAAATCCTTTCCCTTATTTTTCTATCAAAAGAATCAGGGCAGCATAGTACACGCATCAGTTATAGATAGATAGATGGCAGCTAAACTACAATCGCGTGCGTCTTCCAGGTCATGGGTATCCTTGGGTTAAGCAGATACCTAGATGGGCCAAGTCTGCAGAAGCTTCCTGAGGCATCAGAGAAAGCCTCTGATGTACAGATGTTTCCCCTCCTCTGCACGGGAAGGCTAGACAGTCATTTCACCTTTGCTTCTGCCCCTCCAGTGCTCAAGTTAGCATTTACTACCCCCTCAGAGCTCCAGGAAGCAGGGCCCTCACTTACTGTCCATGGCGTGAAGGTATTCCATGTGGATGGCCCCCGCGCTGGTGGCGGCAGAAGGAAGGATGTCGGCGTAGGGGCTGCGCTGTCCGGCCAGCAGGGCCATCTGGTGATAGTACTCCGCGGGACTGACTCCAGCGTGGGGGGCTGGGGACAAGATGGGGTGTGGTCACAACGGAAGGAAGATCAACTGGACACGCTCCTTGAGGCTTCTCAAGTCTACTTCTCATGTATGACTCAAACACAATTTATTTTGTGGCTCCTTAAGTAAAGTTCCTTTTATTCAAAGTGCTTTCAATGATATTAAATACACTTTTTTAAAAAAAATTATTAGTAGTACATGTTTGTGATGTATAATAATCACATTCATCTTGGGCAACTGACATACATACTTATCACACCTGGATCCTTTTTCCATCCCTTTCCCTTCATCCTCCCTTTTAAACATCTTTTTTTTTTTTTTTTTCTCTAAAAAAAAAGACACCTGAAGGAATAGAGAAACACAAAACACATTGCAGCGCTTTTGCTGTTAGTGTATTTGTACCAACAAGAACTGAAAGGAATTAAAATATATATAGTCATGCACTCCTTGAGAAGAAGATACATTCTGAGAAATGCATTACTAGGTGATTCTGTCCATGTAGGAACACCACAGTATGTACTTAAACTAAGGTAGCAACAACGTCATTAGTTGTGTAATCTTAGGGACCTTGCTGCTCCTGGGATGTTGACCAAAATGCTGGTAGGTAGCACAAGGCAAGCGTACGTATCCATGTCTGATCCCGAAAGTAAAATGGTTTCTCATCTCAGATATGTTCAAATTTCTTGCAACAGCAGACGATTCAGACAGCCGTGATCTTTCCAGACATACTTAAAATACTTCCCTAAGTTCTTGACAGGAGTGTCTGAGTTCATGCTCACTAACATAAGGAGTCAGGGTTTATAGAAGGGGAAAAAAAGCAGTGCGACTTTAATGACACACACCAGGATGATAAGCTGCAATTTCGTGTTCCTTAATTTAAAAGCTCTCTTTTCCTTTTTTTTTTTTTTTTTCATTACAAAAAAATCAAAAAGAAAATATACCTATCAATCTGGAGCAATTTACTGGCAAGAGTCAGCCTTCTAGAAGTGGAATAATAATTGGTTTCTCCTTGCCAATTTATGTGCAAAAGCAGCAAGATATTGTAGCAATCCTGAGGGTGGCCTCCAGATTCATGGAGATCTGGATTCAAACTGGCTCCATGAGGTTTGGAGGAGCAAAGGGTCAAACCATGCATGAGAAGTGCTTAGCACATAGCATTTGGTCAGTAACCGTTACCTTTACAATGATTACCTAGGCATCTGCCTGGCAAGTGCAAGGGCCTGAGTTTGATTCCCGGTACCAAAAAAAAATAAATAAATAAATAAACAATGATTACCTAGGAAAACCACCATTCAGGCAATAGCTTGGTGGATGCTTTATATTTGTGCTCGTATACTTTTTAGGCATGATACACAGTAGAGACAGAAATAATAAAATCCTTTACAAACAAAAGAAACATATTATAGTAATATGATTTGATAGAGTATTCACTGGAGCCTTAGGAGGCAGCAAAGGGGAGACAGATCAGGCAAAGAATATTTCATTCCTACTCACCAAGTGCTACAGAAAGCAGAAGAGGAGTGTGTTTTCAGGAGAGTACTAGGAGGCAGGGCTGAAAACTACAGGATGTTTATATTTTAAACTTTTTACTGCAATAAAAGATATATTGCTTTTATATTTTGAACTGAAGGAATGGGATATTACTGACAGTTTAGGAGCTACATAGCTCCAAAGAAAAAGAGCCCTGAGAAATGCAATTAATCAAGAAGCTAATAGGATCAACAGGAATTTAATCACAAACAGCCTAAAATGAACATCAACTATCACAGGAATAAAACCTGAGTTCATTTCTTTTCTGATACTTCTTATTTCAGTTTCTTTTTCTATTTGGTGTGGTGAAGGCCATACAGCAGGTCTGAACCTTCATGTTTTTCAGACCTTGCTACTGAAAGCATAATCCACAGACCAACCAGCCACTGGCATCACCTAAAGAATTTTTAAAAGTGCAGATTCTCAAGCCCCACCCAATGCAGAATCATACTTATCAGACTCTGAGGTGAACTGTGAGCACATCAGTCTGTGAAGCATTACTCTCACAGACACCACTCCATAAATGTGTCTCATCAACAACATACAGAACAAAAAAGCAGTCATCAGAAGGCGATGACAACATTCCAGTTACTCATGCCCATGTAGAAACAGCTGTAGAGCTAGTAATTACATGTGAAATAGCAAAAGAGAACAATGGTAAAGAGCACAGATGGGGGAGTCAGGAAGATCTGGACTTGGGTTCCACTGCCACTTACTAGTGAAGGGATGCAAGTTTGTAAAGAGATCCCTCTGCTAGTCTTCTGCTATTTCTACTTGGAAATGAAGGTAGTAACACCACCCACACGGAAGTGTTGCAATGCTAGAATAAAATCATGCCCTTAAAGCTCTTGGTTTGGTGTCTGGCATGCAGAAAGCACTAAACATTAGATGTACATCATATGAAACATAATTTAAAAATCTCGGGTGTATATCTAAATGAAAAAATTACAATAAAAGACAAATTGCCATGAATCCCCCTGAAAATCCTCCCCCTCAGTTTGAACACTTGTCCCACCACCCTTGCTTCTTTCTGAAGCAGTTCTGGAAGTCCTCTTTCCTGAAGGTCTTTAGTTGCACTGCTGTGGCTGCCTTGATGCTCTGAATCAATTCAAAATATTTACTTTCATCATCCTGTTGACTTCGGAGAAGAGCTAGAAGTTGCATAGTGCAAGATCCAGTGCATAAGGTAGATGAGGGCACGCTGTAATGTTTTCATCTGGCAGAAATTGTGAACATTTTGAATCAATTCAGGACACTCAAGTAGCCATGAATAGACACTCAAGAAAGAGGACTTCCAGAACTGCTTCAGAAAGTGGCAAAAAAAATGGGCTAAGTGTGTTCAAAGAGTGGAAGAGTGTGTTAAGGGAAATGAATGGTAAAGTATGTTTACTGTAATAAATTTTAAAAATTTAAACATTCACCGTACCGTTTTTTGATCACTCGTGTATTATGTCCCAGGTGCTGTGCAGGGAGGTATCGAGTAAGGGCAGACTAGGTCTGGAACTCACCGTCTGCAGGGCTCAGCCCCCGGGCTGCTGAGATCATGGAAAGGGGCGGGCTGCTGTGCAGGGAGCGGATGTAGTCCATGTAGGGGTTGATATAGGGGTGCGGTGGGCTGAACGGAGACTCAGACGCTGCGGCGGGGTTCCGGTGTGGGGAGATTCGAATGAAGGGCAGGTCTGAATATGTTGGGCTACTAGATAAGGCAGAAGGCCTGGGTACACAGAAATACAAAAACGAGAGGCACGTGTGAGCCAAACATCTCCAGAGGCAGAGCTTGTCACCAAAAGGAAACACATGAGATTTTTTTTTTTTTTTGCAATTTTATTTTTTCACTGTTATAACCCTAACTTTCACAACAGCGAACCACTGAGTCCTCACAAGGCGCCAGGTACCCTGAGTGTTTACATGCGTTACATTACTTAATGGTTTGGAACAGAAGCGTTAGTCAGAACTTTCATCACAGGTCGGACACATCGGCGTCTGCTGGCAATGGCCCATGAGTAGCAGGAGCTCTGCTTCTCCAGCTGAGGCAAGTGGAGCCTTTCCTCCCATGCACTCAGGCAGACCACAGGCTCGAGCCCCGGCTGGCACCCGAGAACACGACAGCACAGGGTGCTGACGCTCTACGAAAGCAAGTGATGAAGTGCCTGGCATAAATAACCTGGTCATGGTGTCCCCTAGATATCAGTCACTGGGTTGAGAGTTGAATGGTTCACAATGATACTGGAAAATAGCATATTTTCCTAAAAATTTACTGTGTCTAGCGTTATAGTAAAACTGTTCAGTAAAAAAGGAATCAATACTCCTCTTGCCTTTTATGTTGGAAATTAGTTTAATATCTACAGTACTGAATACATTTCATTGACAATGAGAATAGTTGATTAGGGCCCCTTAATGTGTGCTGTCTGTTGTTTGTTTCTGAAGGAACAGATGCTGACATTTCTCCATAAAAATTCAGTAAGTTATGAACTAGAGGGAAAAATGACCTCTAACAGCCTAGCCCCTTCAGTGGGTGCCGTCTCAGTGCTAGGACGGCCCCCATCGAACAGCCTCCTTCTCAACTTGAAATCTACATTAATCACAGAATATGAATGTTTCTATCATGAGATGAATGTGATTGATTAAATGGCCTAGACTAGGTATCTTACATTGGTCTTAAAATTTGTTATCTGTTTTCTTCATTGTATGTGTTTACTAATACCGGTAAAAACAGATTATCACACATCTTCTGTAATGATTGTGATAGAAATGTCACTTAGCGTGTATGATGATGCGCCACCTGCCACAGACATCTTGGGCTATTACGTCACTCTAAGTGCAGTACAGGGTAGCTGGATTCAAGTCCAACTTGCCTGATGTGGGCTTCCATAAAAGCTCATTCTCAGTTAAAGAGGTGGCAGGAGACGAACTTTTGCTAAACCCAAGATTTTAAGTGAACTTAAGGCGTCCTCTAGAAAAAGTGTCCACCATATACTTTTGCAGTATTATTCAGTTAAAATTGGGATGATGTAATGCAGGTAGAACACCACTATTTAATTGTCTGGGCCAAGAAAAGTAACCTTTGAGACATTTCATGGCCCTTTAAATAAAGATGAGCCATTGGCTCTCTCAATGAGAACAAATTCTAAATAACAGGTACTTGAGCTTAAAGTGGTTACTAGGGTTAGATTTTCCATTTGACCCAAACATTAATGACACCATTTAATACTTACCTCCTATCATCATGGCACTGCAAAAAAAAAAAAAAAAAAAGCATCCCAAATTTGTCTGGTCTGAATATCTAGGCCTGCCTATGGAGGAGGTGTCCATAAACACGTGAGAAGCCAAATTGCAAGTCTATAAGAAACGTGAGATCAGTCTTTCTATATATATCCATATCCATGGGTCTTGCAGTGGTGAGTAAAAACAGTTTTATAGGTCTAGATTGGCCTGTTATGAAGGCCACTTCCCTTCTCTGCAAGGCAATGCTCAGAATCAGCTTTCTGCTTATGCCTGTTTTCATGTGGCACCCTGTTTAGCCATTTTTGACAAGCAACCAGTAACTAAGTAGTTCTGGGGTTTGAAAACTGGCTAGGAACGGGGTTTTGATCAAGTTCACGTCTTGGTTATGACAAGATAAGGTAGAATTTAAGCTTTGGGTGAATGCAAATAAATTTTAAAATACACCTTGCTATGACGATGTCCTAGAGACATGATCCTGGTACTCTTTAACATACTCACACCTTGGCCACTCTGAAGTCCCCAGGGCAGCCCTGCCTAGAATGGTCAGTCTGTGTGGCCCTGCACTGCCTTGTTCCTTCTGGCACAGAAGGTGGATAATCCAGTGAACTGGCTATGACAGGTTAAGCACTTCCACAGTCTGTTTGCCTCATTCATGCAGGGCCTGGCTATACACAAAGGAGAGGCCTTGATAGAGACAGATCAACGGAGAGCAGCACCTTCCTCTCCTGCCACGGCTTCAGGAGTGAAAAGAAAGGGCGGGCAAATACATTTTCTCCTCCTGGCCCATCACCCTGGCAGAATAGAATCTTAGTAGAAAACAGCTCCACGAAGTGCATGCACAGGGACCGGGATAAACGAAGCCAAAGATGAGATAACACATTTTCTCTCAGCAGGAAATAGAAAAAGGTTGAAAGGTGGTGGAGGAAAGGATGTGGAGGATTTTCTTACTTTCTTCATTTTGTTTGTTTTCGTTTGTAGGCCTGGACTTTGAACCCTAGACCTACTCTCATTAAGCTAAATTCCCAGACCTTTTTTATTTTTGATTTTGAGAGAGGGTCTTGCTTGCTAAATCGCTAAATTACCCAGGCTGAGTTCAAACGTGCGATCGATCCTTCAGCCTCAGCCTCCCAAGGTGCCAGGGATTACAAGCAAGCACCACCAGGACGGTTCTTCATTTTCAACTTTAAAAAAAAGTTTTTTTGTTTTTTTGTTTTATTTATTACTCAGATGCTACTTTCCTAAATTTACATGTGGAAAGGGTAAAAAATCACCACCACAAGATAACTTCTTCTTTTGCAATCTGTCTGAGGCTTTCACATCTGCCTCTTCCCCGAAATTAGTAACATTACAATGGATTAAATACATTAAGCCTCACACAGTGTGCACATTTACGGTTACATCATATAGAACTCTACATATTTTTGTGTCAATTAAAGTAAAATCAAATATAGAGGCCTTTGCTCCATCAGATAGAAAGATGGATGGATGGAGGGAGGGAGTGAAGGAGGGAGAAAAGGAGGGATTGACAGGAAGGAAGGGAGAGAGAGGGAGGGAGAGTCACAACCTGTTGTGCTTTAGCTCACTACAAAGCAAGTTAGCTTTGCTGCATTGTAAAACCACAGCCAGGCTCCATATGTAGCTATGGTTGTCACTGGTTAAATCCTAACTCCACTTGGACATGTTTGCCACTTTACAGGGGACAGGAGATGCTCAAATTCATCCATATCTTTTCTACTGGAAAGGATGACCAATCCTTCCTCCCTGGTTGACATAATTCTTCCTTTAAACACAAGCTTGAGCGAATCTTGCTGCTGATAGGCCAGCACTGCTGGCACAAGGATGAAGAGCCGCCTCCTGAAGTTTGTGAGGAGAAACTTCCTGGACACTTGGAACTGATCCATGACAAACTCGGTCTGAACCACAGGCATGAAAAAGCAGTGGAGGCCACTGCATTTCTTACTGTTCTTTATCATTTTCTGAAAATTCCAGAATTGAGAAGAAAAGTACGAATGTCCCTAGAGGTCCACATTCTGTTTGGGAGAATGAACCACAGGAAGATGAATAATATCCAGAAACAAGGATGTTACAGCAAGGACAGTGGATTCACTCATGTCCCTTCCAGAGAGCTGCAGCTCAGTAGATATAGGATCCCTGCTTCCAAACAAGGTGGAGGGGATTTGCCTTCAGACAGGAATACCAACAAGCCCACTGCAAGGTCCTGCCCTAAAAAAATGGGCCACAGACTCCTAGTAGAGTAATAGTGAAGTGAGCGATAGAGGTGACTCTGACAGGTCCTCAGGAGCTTTGGTCACAAGTGTCAATCCATCCACACAGTGAAAGGAATGTGGGTGGAAGCCCAGCTCTAAATGACCTCAGCCAGGGTTCTCCACCTTATCCTTATACCTAGCTGTTCAGCAGGGTAGACACTTACCTTATGCGGGTCTTTAGAAGTTAGTTAAGTTTCACGTATTGAGCTTAACAATAAGGAATATTCAGTACACACATACACATATCTCTGTATATGTTTATATACATATAAAATCACAAGATACATGATTATACATGCAGCAAAGCATACACATTTATTAGGCATGATAAATACGGAGTGTTACATAATTATAAATATTGAAATGCCAGGATATTATTTTTGATGCTTTATTTTGTACAGCAACTTTAGATTTAAGCAAAATTAAACTGCAGTAAAGATTTCCCATAGCTCCTGCATACCTGCGCATATATACCTTCTTGCCACTTGTTTTGTTTTGTTTTGTTTTGTTTTTTTCTCCAGTACCAGGAACCGAACTCACGACCTTGCACTTGCCAGGCAGGCGCTTTGCTGCTGAGCTAAATCCCCAGCCCCTTTCTTGCCATTATTAATATGCACCCCCCAGCAGTGCATTGTTTACAACCGAGGATACCTCATTATCACCCAAATTCACATACTTTACATTAGTGTTCACTCTTGGCGTGCATTCTGTGGGTCTGGAGAAATGCAGAATGACGTGTCACCATCATTACGGTGTTATACAGAGTTATTTTACTGCCCTTCAAGTCTGCTGTGCCTCTGCAGCTTTTCCCTCCTTGCTCTGCCACCCTAACTCCTATAAGGCACTCATCCTTTCAGTATCTTCATAGTTTTATGTTTTCCAGAATGTCACATAATTGGAATCATGCACTATGTCACCTTTTCAGATCTGCTTCTTTCACTTAAAATATACATTTTCCCCATGTTACTTCACAGCTTGAAATCTTGTTTCTTTATAGCACTGAGCAATGCCCACTGTCTAGCAAGCTTATCCCATTCGCTGACCAAAAGAAGGAAAACTTGGTTGCTTCCAAGTGTTGGCAATTTTGAGTAAAGTGGTTTTAGGTATCCCTGTGTAAGTTCTTTGTAGAGCAAATCTGAAGTTCTGAGTCTGCTCAGGAAAGCTCCTATCCCTGGGAACAGGCTGGAATCATACCCTTGGATTTCCTAAGATTCTCTTGGAA